ACAACAGGCACAGCAGCTGTGACAGGTGCTGCCGTGACTGTGCCGCCCACGAAGGGTAAACAGAGGTCAAGTAGCAGTGAGAACAGTCGCTTCCACCCTGGGTCTATGTCTGTGATCGATGAGCGGCCAGCAGACACAGGCTCGGGTGCAGGGCTGCGTGTGAATACTTCAGAAGGAGTCGTGCTTCTGAGCTACTCAGGACAGAAGACGGAAGGCCCACAGCGGATCAGTGCCAAGATCAGCCAGATCCCTCCAGCCAGTGCGATGGACATTGAGTTTCAGCAGTCAGTATCAAAGTCCCAGGTGAAGCCAGATTCTGTCACCCCATCCCAGTCTGCACCCAAAGGCCCTCAGACCCCTTCAGCTTTTGCAAATATGGCCACCCATTCCACCCTGGTTCTGACTGCCCAGACATACAATGCCTCTCCGGTGATCTCCTCTGTGAAGGCGGACCGTCCATCCTTGGAAAAGCCTGAGCCCATTCACCTGTCAGTGTCCACGCCTGTCACGCAGGGCGGCACAGTGAAGGTTCTCACCCAGGGCATCAACACACCCCCAGTGCTGGTTCACAATCAGCTTGTTCTCACCCCAAGCATAGTCACCACTAACAAGAAACTCGCTGACCCCGTCACTCTGAAAATCGAGACCAAGGTCCTTCAGCCAGCTAACCTGGGGCCCACCCTCACTCCCCACCACCCCCCTGCCCTGCCCAGCAAACTGCCTACAGAAGTAAACCATGTTCCCTCAGGGCCCAGCACCCCGGCAGATCGAACCATCTCCCACTTGGCAGCCACGAAGCCAGACACACATAGCCCTCGACCTAGTGGGCCTGCACCAGGTCCTTTCCCAAGGGCATGCCACCCCAGCAGCACCACCTCCACAGCACTGTCCACCAATGCCACCGTCATGCTGGCTGCGGGCATCCCCGTGCCCCAGTTCATCTCTAGCATACACCCCGAGCAGTCTGTCATCATGCCGCCCCACAGCATCACGCAGACGGTGTCCCTGGGTCACCTTTCACAAGGGGAGGTGAGAATGAACACACCCACATTACCCAGCATCACCTACAGCATCCGCCCAGAGACTCTGCACTCTCCTCGGGCCCCCCTGCAGCCCCAGCAGATAGAGGCAAGGGCCCCGCAGCGTGTGGGCACCCCCCAGCCTGCCACAGCTGGTGTGCCTGCTCTGGCCACCCAGCACCCTCCCGAGGAGGAAGTTCACTATCACCTCCCTGTGGCTAGAGCTGCAGCCCCCGTGCAGTCAGAAGTGCTGGTCATGCAGTCTGAGTACCGACTGCACCCGTACACTGTGCCCCGAGACGTGAGGATCATGGTGCATCCGCATGTGACCGCGGTCAGTGACCAGCCCAGGGCTGCTGAGGGGGCAGTGAAGGTGCCACCAGCCAACAAGGCTCCCCAGCAGCTGGTGAAAGAAACCGTTAAGACTTCAGATGCCTCAGCAATCCCTGTCCCTGTCCCTGCCCCCGCCCCGGCCCCGGGCCCTGTGCCTACCCCCGCCCCTACCCCTCATGGTGAAGCCCGAATCCTCACAGTCACCCCCAGCAACCAACTGCAGGGGCTGCCTCTGACCCCACCTGTGGTTGTAACCCATGGGGTGCAAATTGTGCACTCAAGCGGTGAACTGTTCCAAGAATATAGGTATGGAGACATCCGTACCTACCATGCCCCAGCTCAGCTTACACACACTCAGTTTCCTGTCGCCTCCTCCATCAGCCTACCCTCCAGGACCAAGACTTCTGCACAGGTGAGGAAGCCAGGTTTCCTCCCTACTTTTGGGCACGCACTTGGGGGCTTTGTGGTTTAGAGAGACAGGCCGGCCAGCAAGATGGCTCAGTGGGTGAAGGCGTCTGCTTAAGTGTGAGCCTGGCAACCCAAGTTTAGTCCCCAGAACCCTCCTGAGAGAGGAAGGAAAGAACTATCTCCGGGGTTGTCCTCTGACATCCACATGGACACACACGGTAGCACACTTGTTGTGTGTCCCATCATGCACTCACACATATGCACAGTAATAAGAAATGTAAAAAAGCAACTTTTAGTAGGATTGTGAGCAAGGTACAGACAAGCTAGGCAGGCCTTGGAGGTGGAGAGAGGGGCGAGGAGTGGCTCAGATCATAACCACAGCTCTTGGATGTGGGGAGACACTCTAAGGGCTTCTGCCTGCAGGGTCAGAAGGATCATGTTAGGTGGCCTTTGCCCTGAGACTCATTATTATTATGGCTTGTATTTCCTCTGTGGCCTGACTGAGACAAGGGTCCATTGAGTTCTTGTTTGGGAGACGGGGCTTTTGCACAGCCAATCCTGACTGTCCCTTTGTCTTTCTTCCCAACTCTAGGGCCCTCCTGAAGGTGAGCCCTTGCAGTCCACACAGCCTACACAGTCTGCCCCGGCTACGCAGGCCACGCAGCCTGCACCATCTGCCCCATCCTGCCAGCCCTCCCAGCTCAACCAGCCTTCCCAGCCACTGAGTAGCAAGATGCCCCAGGTCTCCCAAGAAGCAAAGGGGACTCAGACAGGAGGGATAGAGCAGCCTCGTCTCTCAGCTGTCCCTGCGAGCCGGCCGCCTGAGCCCCATGTTCAGGTTCAGAAGGCGCCAGTGGAAACAGGCCAGCCAGCCCACCCCTCCCCTGTGTCAGTCTCCACGAAGACAGACCTCCCAAACCCTCTTCCCTCTCAGGCTGCCCCAAAGCAGCCGTTGTTTGTCCCTGTGGCCTCGGGTGCAAGCACCCCACCTGGACTGGCTCTGCCTCACACTGAAGCCCAGTCAGCCCCCAAACAAGATTCTTCTCTACACCTGACGTCACAGAGGCCTGTGGATATGGTTCAGCTTCTGAAGGTAAGATGGGCAGAAGCTGCTCTTGACCCCCTGACTTTGTTGTGTCCTAAATGTGCCCCAATCTCCCAGTCGATAGGCTCCTGAGCTGTTTCCAGGATGGTGCTGGACATGCCATGATCCCATGTCTGCCTTGTTTCCTGTAAGCAGAAATACCCGATCGTGTGGCAGGGCCTGCTGGCCCTGAAGAACGACACAGCCGCCGTGCAGCTCCACTTCGTCTCTGGCAACAATGTCCTGGCCCACCGGTCCCTGCCTCTCTCTGAAGGTGGTCCCCCCCTGAGGATCGCCCAGAGGATGCGGCTAGAGGCCTCACAGCTGGAAGGAGTTGCCCGGAGGATGACAGTAAGACTTAGTTAGGGCCCTGCTAAATGTCCCCGAGATTCACAGGGAGGGAAGAGCACAGTAGCCTCGGTGGCTTAACTCCTGGCTTTGATAACCCTCGACACAGGCAAGGAAGGACAAACTGCTTGGGTAGAGAAATACCCCCTCGTCTCAGAAGTGACCTTGTTAGTGTGGTGTGACACGGCCATGTTAGAGGTGCCTAGCCCTTTGGTGTAGGACACATGCTGTTTAGTCGGGAGATCCCTAACCACTCGCCTCTGCTCCAGGTGGAAACAGATTACTGTCTGCTGCTGGCTCTGCCCTGTGGGCGTGACCAGGAGGATGTGGTGAGCCAGACAGAGTCCCTCAAGGCTGCCTTCATCACTTACCTGCAGGCCAAGCAGGCAGCAGGGATCATCAACGTTCCCAACCCTGGCTCCAATCAGGTTGGTCCACTGTCCCATCACCACCCCACATTTGTGCACACAGTTAGCACCAGTTTAGGGCAGGGCAGAAGGGCTGGCCCGGCCTGGTGGCATGGATATTTCTAGTACCAACCAGAGTACCCCAGGAGTTCCCAGAGGAGGTGGGCACTACCACCTTGGGAAATGGCCACCAGTTGGTAGGGAATAGCTGAGAGGGGGGAATGTTGACCTTGGACTATACAGGCTGGTGACCCCTTGCCTTGATATGCAGCCTGACTGGGGCGGGGGTGGGGGTGGGGGTGGCTGTCAGGGCCTGCCAGCTACAAGTATGGGGGGTGTCATGGAAGACAGTGGGTCCCACTTTCTCTCTCTCTCTCTCCCTCCTCCAGCCCGCCTACGTGCTGCAGATCTTCCCGCCCTGTGAGTTCTCCGAGAGTCACCTCTCCCGCCTGGCCCCTGACCTCCTTGCCAGCATCTCCAATATCTCCCCGCACCTCATGATTGTCATTGCCTCTGTCTGAGGCTATGCTGCAAAAAGATGAACCCGGAACAGAACTGTGGACAACACAGCCAGGCAGAGGGGAAGCTGCTGAGGGGCAGACTGCCAGGCGCCACCAGCTGCCCTCGCTCTCACGCCCGCCCAGCTCCCAGCTCCCAGCTCCGCGGATAGACCTCCTCCGGGGGTGGTGCTTGTATGTTTACATGAAACTCTCGCCCAGGACAGACCACCAACCATGGCCTCCCAGAAACCTTAGGGGCTGGCTTTCCTCCTTTTGGAGAAAAGGAACAGGGCAGTGGGAGGAGTCTGTGTTGGACGGAACCAGCCTTTGCACTAAATTAGTGACCTGCACAGCAAACACAGGCTGTGACGCTCTGGACATGTGTACGTGAGCACGCCTCGGACTCTCACGCAGGACTTGGGACTTGTGCTGAAGCCTTGGTGTCAAGGAACATTTCATTGGGTATTTTTGCCCCATCTCTTCCTCCTCTCTTCCAAGGCTCAAAGGACATGTCATTTTTCTTAATTCTCCTGCCGCCGCCACCACCTTCAACTCATCGGATGTACAGTTTACAGTTGAGTAAAGCGAAGAGGATTCTTTCTTGGTCGGATGTGCAGAACTTGGGATGTGTATATATAAATATATAATATATATAAATATATATAATACTGACTTAAATCAAATTTCCCTGACATACATTTTTTTTAATCTGTGCCAAAAATGTGTTTTCAAAGAAAATCTTATTTTCATACTCAGACTTTGTACCGTCACCCATTTGTATAAGTGCGCTTCGTTACAGCACGGGTCCTGCTCCTGCAACATGGAAGTGTCACACAGCACCTGTACAAAAAGACCTGGCCAACTCCCTCTTCCTGTGACTTGGACCTCTCCCCGACTTCCTAACACTTATTAATTTATGAAACTGTTTTTCTCAGCGCAGTTTTGTTGTGTGTCCATTGGATTACAAACTTTATTAAAAAATACAAAACACTTTAAGTGTGAATGTGGTTGTCGCACAAGTGGGAACCACGGGGTCCCTGGCTTGCTGGAACAGTAGTTCCTACCTCGAGTCTGTGAGCAAGGTCCCTTTCAGTTCCCTAACCCTCCCAGAACCTTTCTCCTTGTGCTTGAGGCTTGAATCACATACTGGCCTGGCCCTCAGTCCTGTTCTAGGCCCTTCAGATTTCAATAATGAAATCCCTCCCCGATTCAAGCTCCTGCTCTGGGCCTCCTGCAGGATAAGGCATTCCCTTCTCTGCTCCCTGGGGCATTGTTGTTCCTTGTAGTAGCAAGGAGCCTAGTAGTCCTGGGGCTGTTAATTCTATGCCTGCTTCAAGACAAGAAAAGGCTGGGGCACCAGGAGCTGGGCTACCGACCTGGGGGCTACAGATCAGGCCTGTCCAGTTCAGTAGGGCTCCTCCATGGGAAAGATCACAGCTCTGCCCGCTGGGATCCCAACAGAAAAGCTTCTGGCTGCTCCCTTCCCTCCTCTTGCCAGCCTGGTGGTAGCCTGCAGCAAGTTAGTGTTGCCACAGGATGGTGTCGCTGTGGCCCTGGTAAAGCAGGTACTAGGCCCTATTTTATTGAGAAGCCAGCCGGTAGTCTATACACTGCTTTTGCATTGCTGCTCTGGATAAATAAAGGTCCTAGGCTGCCTGGGTCTCTGAAGCTTTGCACCCTGGTGAGTGGAGCTGCATCTCAGCCACAAGGTGCTGCCCACACCCTAAATAATTTAAGACACAGGATGGAGCTCTACTTTCCATGATGAACTGCCTGGTCCCTGAATTTAGTGTTAACTGTTCTACAGTATCAGCTGTGTAGGTGACAGTTACCCATCCACGCAAGGGGACACAGGTACCATAGGCAACATTAGAAAATAATCCAATTTATTCTCTAGGGATGGGGCAGGAGCACCTTGAGTCCCAGGGTGCCACCCACTTTAAATAAGCAGTCAGAGGCCACCTGCTCACTCTGCTGGTGGTGGGCAATCAGGAGCTGTGGGCGGAGTTTCTGCCAGTGTGGGATGGCCCTCAGCCCCATCCCTGGGACGGAAGACCAGCTCTCCAGCCTGCAGCATCTGCCCGGCTGGCCACGTGCTGCCTGGCCCATACTGCTGGTAGAAGTCCGCATCTGTCTGGAACATGACCAGTGCCTGGGCTGTGTGGATCCGAACATGCTGGGCCAGGCTGTTGGCATCCAGGAACTTGTCCCCACAGGAATCACAAGCGTAGAGGATGTGGGTGTTGGGGTCTGTGGAGGTGGGGGCTGTGGTCAGGATGGGAAGGACCTTGGGTCCACCGGCGTTCATGCCCAAGACTGCCCCGCTCACCTTCTTCCTGCACCTGCTTCACAGCCTTGCTGATCTCGGCTTTCAGCACTTCCGTCTCATCAGCTGTCACTGCAGCCCCCACTGGTACCACTGTGGGCAGAGTCAGCAGGGCCTAAGGCAGAAGCCACAGGGACCTACCCCATTGTTGCCACCAAGGCAAGGTGCCTGTGGCTACCCTCTGCTGTCTACAGTCCACACCTGTGAGCTGAGTGACCGCTGTTGCTGCCAGAGCCTCCGTAGCCAGTGTGACCATGTCGTCCACAGTGACCACGCTGACCTCACCACCCTCTTCTGGCTCCAGGATCTTGATGCCCGCCTTGCCCTGATGCACGGTCTTTACGTGAGAACGCAGGTTGTCCACCCGGTTGAAACCACGACCACACTTGTCACACAGGTAAGGCTTCTCTCCTGGTGGGGAGGCAAGTTACCCTCCTGCCACATGCAGGCCTCCCAGTGCCCAGCAGCCCCATCTTTTCCAGCAAGTTCTCTGGCAGCTGCCAGTGCTTGACAGGTGCCTCAAGAGCACCCTCCTGGAAGCCCCGAGGCAGCTGGAGTCCACATTTGAACTGAGCTTCAAGGCTGCCTGTAAGCAAGTGTGGCACAGGGCTCCCTCCCTCCACCCCTCCATCTCCTACAGAGTGGGCTGGGAAGGGAGGCCACCGGCAGGCAGCGCATGCTCACCAGTGTGGATGATTATGTGTTTGGACAGGTCCCCCACATTCACAAAGGCCTTGCTACACACGCTGCACTTATGTGGTCGGATATTGTCATGGTGGCGGATGTGATTGGCCAACTGGCTGGACTGAACGAATCTGCAGGGCCACAAGTGAGAGGCTGTGCTGACCCAAGGAGGAAGGGGGTGGGGGGGGT